CCACAATGTTGAACAGTGGATTTCTGTTGTTTCTAAATTAACTGGGGCTATATTTTGGATCTTGAAGATCCTTCCAAAGCCTGTGTATTAAAGGCTTGGTCCCCAGACTGGTGGTTTGGGAGAGGATGTAGTCTTTAAGTGGCAGGGCCAAGTAGGAGGTCCTTTGGTTATTTTCGGGGTGGGGGGTGGGGTTGAGGAATCGTTGGGGGGACAGGGGGTGTTCTCAAATGGGTTAGCAAGACCCTGAAGTGTATGCATGATTTTGCCTCACCACCCTCCTGCTATGATGCAAGCCTACTAACCCACAGTTCTAAAGCAACAGGGTGAAAGCAACCATGTATTGGAACTTCCAATGCTCCAATGACCCAGAACCAAAATAAACTTTTTATCTTGACACACGATTAGCTCCGGTATTTTGTTATAGTGGTGGAAACCCAAGTAACACAACCCATCTAAGCTACCTTCTTACGGCTGCCCATAGACTTAGACAAAAAGTGGTACCTGAAAAACGGCATGCTCTGCTGTTAGGAAATACCAAAGAATGTGGAAGTTGTTTAGGAACTGGGTGCTTGGAAGAGCCTGGAGGTGTCTTGAAATGCATGTTGGACAAAAACTGAATCACAGACCCTGAAGGGAGTTTCTTGTCAGGGAGAAAAGTGAGTTTTAGGGAAGCCTCCAGTCTTCTCAGAGATCACATGAGAAACCATGAACACCAGCAGAAACAGGAACACGGGCAGGGTATCAGGTGGAAATGGGGAAAAGGTGATTAACAATGGAGGAAAGGTTTTTTTGTTTGTGTGTTTTTTTTTTTTTGTTTGTTTGTTTTTGTTTGTTTTTCAAGACACAGTTTCTCTGTGTAGCTCTGGAGCCTATCCTGGCACTCGCTCTTGTAGACAAGGCTGGTCTCGAACTCACAGAGATCTGCCTGCCTCTGCCTCCCGAGTGCTGGGATTAAAGGCGTGCACCACCAACGCACGGCTGACAGGTGATCTTTATTGTAAATCAGCAAGAGACTCAGCCCATTTATCTTGGCGTTTTCCGATGTTCGGGACAATGACGAGGTCGCTTGGCGGGTGGCGAGGAAAAGTCCTGTGGGTTTGGCATTCTATCCTGATGGTTTGTAGTGAAATGTGAAAAGATCTGGAACATTCTCAGCCTAGCCATACCGTTAAAGAATGAAACAAACCTAATCATCAGAAAACATCAAAGACACGGCCAGGGGCCTGTTGGTGGAGATTAGCTCTGCTAGATGCTATACATCAGGACGATGGCAAACACAAAGATGGCATCTTGAGATCTCGGGAGCCCTCCCCAGGCCAGGGTGCTAGGGCCCTGGAGGTGGGATGGTTTCTGGACTCTGTTCTTTGCATTATGATTCAGCACTCTTTCGCCGCCCAGCTGTGGTTCAAGCAGAACCAGGCACAGCTCAGGCCGCCAATGGTACAGCATGGATGCCTGCAAAGTGACATCCCCAGGAATAGCAAAAGGTATTCTCTGTCTGCATGGATGCTTGCACCTCAGTTTCAAAAGATGCCACAGACATCCTCAAGGCCAGGAAGAGAGCTGTGTCAGAGCAAAGAACAACAGAGTCCTTGCTAAGGCAATGCCCAATGCAGCCAAGGGGGCCTTCCCGAGGCTCCAGAATTGTAGAAACACCAGTGAGTACCTGTAAGGCTCCAACCTGTGAATGTACCCTACAAAGCAGAGAGTGGGGATGTGGGACTCTGGAAGAACAGGAAGTGCCCTTAACCGCTGGGCCATCTCTCCAGCCCCATAATTTTGTTTCTTTTTCTTTTCCCCCAGTTTTTCAAGACAAGGTTTCTCTGTGTAACACTGGCTGCCTGGAACTCACTCAATAGTCCAGGCTGGCCTTGAACTCACAGAAATATGCATGCCTCTGTCTTCCCAGTGCAGGGATTAAAAGCCTGAACTACTACTGTCTGGCTTTTTGTTCATTTCTTAAAGAAGCCACGACTTTATCTATTATCAAGAGAACTATGGGGGTGCTGGAGAGAGAGCACAGCAGTTAAGAGCACTGGCTGCTCTTCCAGAGGACACAAGTTCAATTCCCAGCACCCACCCACATGGCAGCTCACAACTGCCTGTAACTCCAGTCCCAGGGGATCCAATGCTGTCCTCTGACGGCACTGCACATACATGATGCAAATACCCATACACATAAAATAAACATAATTTACAAAAAGGAGAGAGCTATGGTGCTGGGATTTGTAGCATAAGTTTTTAAAGCTGCTAAGGTGGCCAATGAGGACTCGTTCCAAAATGATATGTCAGCAGTGTCTTCGTTACCCTTAGATAGTAAACTCAGGATGGAATCTGTTTTCTTATTTCTAGACTCTTAAATCAGTGATTATGTACCTGAGTGCTTGGCTTGGAATATCCTGTGGGGCTGGAATATACACTAAGTCCTCTGAGGTCTTGATATATTTAATTCTGCCATGCAGGTTGGCAGTAGAAAACACAGTCTTGTGACATGAACCCAGCTCAAAGTCTCAACAAAATTATAACTGTCCAAATTTTTTATTTTATTTTTTGCTGGCAATTAATCTGTTTGTTCCTTTTCCCTGTGTGCTCAACATTCAAAAAATGTATTTACTAAGTGCCTTCTATGTGTCAGGATTTGTTCTAGACACTGAGAAAATAGAAATTAGCCTAACAAACTCTGTCCTAAGGAGCCTTGGTCACTTTCACATCACTGTGGCCCAGATACTTGAGAGGACAACCTGAAGGAGAAGATTTATTTTGGCTCATGGTTTTAGCAAGTTCAGTCCATGGTCACCTGGCTGGGGTTTCTGGGCCTGTTGTGAGGCAGAACATTATGACAGGTGAGCACGTGGGGGAGGCTTCTACTCTACAGGTAGCTGGGAAATAGGAGTGAGAGGAACAGACAAGAGAGGGGCCCAGGGTAGAACACAGCCCTTGACAACACACCGCCGGCAACCCAGTTCCTCAGTTAGACCTCACCTCCTAACGTTTCCAGACCCTCCCAAAGTAGCACCCCCAGCTGGGAAACAAATATTCAGCACATGAGCCTCGGGGGGACACTTTATGTTTAAACTACAATAAGCCTCCAGAATAGGGAGAACAGAAAGTAACTGGCCAGTTATGTAAAAGAGAGAAAACTTTCCACAGGGCCAAGGACCTGTGAGAGCCTGGAAGAGTTGATTAATTAATTAATTCATTCATTGATTCATTTGATCATTCATCATACCCATTGACCTCATCCACAGCATGCTAGGAACAGGTAAAGCAATGAGGAAGAGAAAGCCCATCCCTTCTCTGATCTCACCTTTGGTCAAATAGAAACGAAAGTCACATGAGCAGATTGTTACAGATGCTAGAGTTACAAGGGGAAAGCACGTACCCAGGGAACCACTACTTCTGGGACAGTGCCCACATGTTGGGTGGTGAGGATGGAATGGTGCCTGAGATGCAAAGCTGGGGAGGAATCTTGCATATAACAGGGGCAAGAGAGACCATAGCAAAGGTATTTTCAAATAGAGGAGAAACTCTGGGCAATGTGGAGGCTGCAAGTGAAGTTAGCCAATAACAAGATCCTGACAAATCTTGTAGGCTGTTTAAGAGTTTGGCCTCTTTCTGAGACTAATGGTTAAGTTTAAGAAATGGGAGGAAATGTTCAGTTGCTCACTTTAGAAGATCACCAGCTGCCAGTCAGTGTTTTGGAGTGGTGAGATGCCAGAGGCAGGACCCTGCTGAGAGGCTCTTAACGTTCTTTTTGGGAAGTGCTGGCCATGGCTGAGCTGGGAGTAGTGATGGGGACTGAGCCAGCTGAGTCATAGTCAACAGGGGTGGGGAGCACTGGCAATGAAGGACATGAGGAAGGATACTAATTTCTGCCGTCAGCAAAGGAGAAAATAATCCAGCACAAGACACTTGGGGTTGGGAGTAGATCTCCAGGGAATATACTGAACTGTGGGGTAATCAGATGGACATGTCCTGTGCAGCCTGGAACTGTAAGGAGAGTGCTTAACTGGAGCCTGCAGTTGGGAGGTGGTTAGGGCAGAGGAGGCTCTGAGCCCTGTGGACACTGCTGACATCACTCAGGAATGCTTAGAGGAAGATAAGAGATAACACCCCAGAAAAGATAGGTATGGAAAAGAGAGCAATATGGACTAAGAGAGGTAATAATGAAAGTCACAGAAGGGACACTAAACCCTGAGCTCGTGTCTTGAAAATCTGGGCTGGATGGTGCTTTCTGAAGACTTCCTGGGGAAAACCTTCTTTTCCTGGCACCACCAGCACACCCACTGCAGGAGGCAGCTGGAGGCGGAAGTCAGAAGGCCACCTGTGTCCTCTGTTGATTGTTAAAAATACTGTCTAAAAGCACAGGAAATAAGCTTGTGTGAGTACTCGATTTTCTTTGATGGGTATGATCCATTCTGTAACGGTCCTAGGGGTTGGAGCGTGAGGGGGTGGGGTGGCTTCAAAGAACAAAAAGTCTCTCAGAGTGTGGTGATCTGCACACCTCAAGAACCCTCAGCCATCATGACAGGCCACAGCCTCTAAGAGGTGCAGGAGTGGGTGGGGCCTGGGAGGAGGGACACAGGCATCCTTAAGCCATGCCTAGATAGGGATGGTAGCTGGGAGGCTCCACACAATCAAATACCAAGACTTAAGATCTCTCAGAGCCACGTTTACCAAGGGAACACAAGGGGAACGTGGAGAAATGAGTCGGTTCTCATAGGCTCAGTGGTCCACACTAAGGAAACTTCCTCCACAGACGTGTAAGGGCTAGACCTTTTTGACTCTCAGGCCAGAGCTTCTGGAGTATCAGAAACACCAGGAACATCTGGAGCAGCAGGAACACCTGGAACATCAGAACACTTGGAGCATTGGGAACACCAGGAACTTCTGGAGCATCAGGACAAACATCAAGCTGTTCTGTCCTCTGACATAGCTCTCACATAGCTGAGCTGGCTTCCTCCAGGATTTGGGAAGTGCCTATGTTACAGTTCAACATTCTAAAATGAGCTGTGTAAGCCCTTTTCAGCTTGCCAAGAAGGCGTGGTTGTTTTAGAATGCTGGTTTTCAGTGCTTGCTGGGATCTCAACGTCATCGTAGTCGTTTTCGGAGCCCGAGATAGAAAAGACCTTCTTGTTTCTAACTTTCCTCACTGATGAGTACCAAGCCGGTAGTTGGCTTGGAGCTTCCTGTGGAGCTAAAGCACAGGAAAAGGTCATTACATGCAAGGCTACTCTGTGTTCATGTATTTTTGGCCGAGTGGCTCAGCATTAGATTTGAGCCCATTACAGATCTTTCCACTTCCTGGAAGGCCAGTTCCCCATTTCACAGATGAAAACCAGTCACAGACATGACACATGTCTCAGGATCGCCCAAGTGCATGAATGACAAATGCTGGGCAGACTTCTTGGCTCCCACATCTCTGTTTTAAGAGCCTCACATCAAGGGAACTATGATGCAAATACTTAGGAAGCAGACCACAGCCAGTTACTAGGTGACCACAGTTGTGTCCACAGATCCAAGATCACAAGGGTCTTATGGACTTGTTGGTGCATCCCTCCCCACACCCTGGGACTGTTTGCCATTGCTTACATGCAAATCTGCGTGCTAAGAAGGAAGGAAATGGGGTGTGTATGTGTGTGTGGGTTGCTTTCAAAGATAGAATCACTGCAGAATGGGTCTATAGAAGGAACAAGAGTGATTACTGCCGTTCATCTGAGACTTGAGAATGATTCTCCTGAGGTTCGTGTGTTGGAGACTTGGTCACCAATGTGGTGACATTAAGAGGTGTGTGCCTGTATGTGTCTGTGTGTGCGGAGGGGCTCAACCGTTACCAGTTCCTACTGATTTGCAGAGGACCTGAGTTCAGTTCCCAGAAACCGTATCAGGTGGCTCACATCCACCTCTAACTCCAGCCCCAGGGGATTCAATGCCCTCTTCTGGACTCTGGACACATGTGTACTTATAGTACTTATAGAACACATGTGGGCAGATACTCAAACACATATGAGCAAAAAACTAAACTAAAAAAGGTGGTAGGACCTTCAAGAGTTGGAGCCTAGTTTGAATCGGTGTGGATCCCTCCCTTTGCTCTCCACCCTGTTCTACCATGAGATTTCCTGCTGTTACATGGGCTCCCGCTATGGTGCCAGGCTTGTCATGCGATGTAGCTTTCCAGTGCCATGCTGTTCGGACACTCAGCCACTAAAACTGCAAACTAAATAAGCCTTTTTAAAAAAGCTACCCAGTCTCAAGTATTTTGTCGTAGTAACAGAAAATGGACAAATACACTGATGAATAGCTTAGCCACACCTATACTAAGAACCAGATTTGCCTTCACAATAATTGTGTCTTCCTCTAAAGAAATTGAAAAACCATTGCCATTCCATTTCCTGTAAAATGAGTTTAGACTCCAGCAGTCAGTTTTGTGATCATGGGCAAATCACTTAACTTCCCTGGGCCTTAGTATTGTCAACTGTCCAAGGGCCATTGACAACCATCAGTTTCACAGAGCTATGAGGGTTTACATGAGGTCATGTCTAACAGGGAGCCAGTCAAGGGAACCAGGGAACATTCAGGAATGGTGGGGCTCACCTGTAATCCTAACACTCCCTTAGCAGCCAAGGATTAACTTGAACTCCTTGGATGCTAAGGAAGTTTAAGGGCAACTTGAGCTACATGAGACCCTGCATCAGAAAACAAAGCCAGGTGGTGGTGGCACACGCCTTTAGTCCCGTCCTTGGGAGGCAGAGGCTCCCTGTCTTGAAAAAACCAATAAATAAATAAATAAATAAATAAATAAATAAATAAATAAACAAAAAAGAAAGAAAACAAAACACAAAAAAGGGACTGGGGAGTTCAATCTGTAAAGTACTTGTCTTGAAAGCATGAGGACCCAAGTTTCATTCTCAGAACCCATGTCTGTCTGTCTATCTATCTATGTGTCTACCTATGTATCCATCCATCCATCCATCTATCATCTACCTATCCATCTATCTGGAGTCTTTCTATGCATCTATCATCTATCTATATCTTTCTATCTACCTATCATCTATTACCTGTCTATCCATCTATCTATCATCTATCTGTGTGTCTATCTCTCCATCCATCTATTATCTATCTATCTATCTATCTATCTATCTATCTATCTTCTATCTATTGTAGTGTGTGGTTGTCATGGCGGTGCACATCTGTAATTCCAGCAGAGGACAGATCCCTAAGACTCACTGGCCAGCTCTGCCTCATCTGCTTGGTGACTTCTAGCTAATGAAAGATTGTTTTTGTTTTTGTTTTTCTAATCTTTTTGAGACAGGGTTTCTCTGTGTAGCCCTGGCTGGCCCAGAACTCTCTCTGTAGACCAGGCTAACCTTGAACTCACAGAGGTCCGCCTACCTCCACCTCCCGAGTGCTGGAATTAAAGGCATGCACCACCACCGGCTGAAAGATTGTTTTCTAAAAGACGTGGGTTGTGCCCAAGGAACCACAGATAAGGATTGTCCATTGGCTTTCATGTGCATAGGACATTCATTCTCCAGCACCTGTACACACATGAACACACACTAAAATTGAAAAAAAAAAAAAAAGCCACAATCTGCAAGATGGGAAGAGCCCTCCCCAGATACCAAAGTAGCTAGAGCTTTTATCTTGGACTCTCAGCCTCCACAACTTGGAGAAAATAGTATTCCCATTGTTGAAGCTGCCCAGTCTGTAATATCTTGTTAGTAAGCTAAACAAGACACCTCCATACATTCATTATCCTACCCAGAATGAAACTGTTATCAGTAAAATGTACTTACCAGGGTCTCCTGGGAAAGGTGAGCCTCTGGGTGGCAGAGCAGGTAACTGCCCTGGTGATGGATTAAGAACATTCCTAGTGGGGGAGGGGAAGAGAGGGAGAAGAAGAGGGAGTGGGAGAGGGAGAGAGAGAGTCACTGGTCTGAATCAAGCCTATTGCCAGCTGCTTTGTAAGATATTAAGGCGAGTGAGTGGGTTGAAGATTCAAATCTAGATTCCTACAGATTGGAAGCATTTCCTTCCCTTTCTAGATTCTGCCTTCCATTTCTGTCATCCCAAAGAAAACATTTCCTGTAGCCCAGGGAATGGCACGGATCGTCCTTAGGGCCCAGGGTCTGTCCTCCTGTGTGAACACAGTGCATCAGGGGTATTCCAGTTACCTCCTACTGATGTTAGGTGTCAACACTATGACCAGCAGCGATGCTGCAATTTACCACATATGTGTCCAGAATGTTCTAGGTGGGGCTATTCACAACATCCCTGCTGTTAAGTGGCCCCCGAAGGTCCAGTGTGGCACTGTTGGAAAGTGGTGAAAGATTTAAGAGTTGGGACCTAGTGGGAAGTTTTCAAGTGCTTGGAAGCATGTGTTCAAAGGTGACTGTGGGCCCCAAGTCCCTTCCACCTCTCTTCACCCTTCCTCTTGTTCCTGGCTATGAGATGAACAGTTTTATTCTGTGGTGCACTCCCGCCTTACCACAGGCCCAAAGCAACAAGGCCAACCAATCATAGCCTAGAAACTGGAGAACTGTGAGCCAAGAGAAATCACGTCTCTTTAGAGGCTGATTGTCACAGGCATTTGTTTCAGTAACAGAAACTTACATACAAGTCACCACCACACTACCCAAATGCCCACTCACAGTAGATGGGACAGATTGACCATAGCCTACGCCTACAGTGGAATGTTCTACAGCAAGCAGAATGAACAATCTACAACAACACTCAATGAATCTGACAAAAATAGTATTGACCTGGGGTTGTAGCTCAATAGTGGAGCCTTGCATGTTATATGTGAGGCCCTGGGATTGTAGTGAACCCCTAGTACTGAAAAAGAAAAAAAAGCAAAAGATGCAAAATATTGTGTGCTATTCTGTTCATGCAAAGCACAAAACAAAAACCAGACGACAACAAAAACACCTTGCTGATCCCTTCTGGCTAGTAAGCATTTAGGGGTGCCATGCTGCAGGCCTTGGAAAAGAAGTGGCTATGGTGTTAGTGTCATCCACAGAGCTGGGCTACGGTGTTAGTGCCATCCACAGAGCTGGACACTGTTACCTGTGTCTGCTCAGTTCATGGAAAGTTGTTGAGCTGTGTGCTTCCTGGAAACATTTTTCTGTAGCAATACCACACTTCTGTGGGAAGTTTTCACTGTAGTACCAGTAAGGCGTTGGCTGTCTGGTTGTGTGATACACGATTGACTTACTCATCAATGGATCAGACTGGGCAAGGAGAAGTTGTATTTGTTGGTCTCTTTGAACCCCAATAAAATCCATTTGAGGAAATGTAGGGGTGTGTGTGTGTGTGTGTGTGTGTGTGTGTGTGTGT